TATTTTTCTCAATAGTTTTTTTTTATTTCTTTTGATAGCTTGGCATCCATTTGGTTCAGCTCAAGTGGCTTTTTGCACATTCTTAATCCCGTAATTATTAATTTGACAACTTTGTAGAGTGGAAACAGACTGTTGAATTAGTTCATCCTAGACTTTGGTAGAACATGTTTAAAATAGTACAGTGTGAACTGCAATTTCTTTCTGGCTGGTATAAATTTATTAAGTAATATTTTTTCGTACTAAAAAGACTCAAATATTTTTTTTAATTAAATCTAACAGCCAATGGGAGCACATTTGCTACAACCTCTGCTTACTTTGGGCTAAATGTTTTTTTTTGACTCCCATGTGCGAAGCACAAAATGGGAGTCTTTGCAGTTAGTGTGTCTGTATGTGTGTATGTGTGTATGTGTGTGTGTATGTGTGTCCGACTGTTCCACTGCTATCTCAAGAACCATACATCGGTTTTTGATGAAACTTGGTGCATAGATGCTCTGGGCCAATGCGCAGATTTGATTAGGTTTTGGTAAAAATCCATGCTCGTTAATTACCTAATTTGCATGATAATTAGCTAATTTTTAGCTGTTCTATGACTGTTCCACTGATATCTAAAGAACCACTCATTGGATTTTGATGAAACTTGGTACATAGATGCTCTGAACATATGCGCAGATTTGATTAATTTTTGGTAAAAATCCGTGCATATTAATTACCTAATTTACATGATAATTAGCTATTTTTTAGTGGTTCCATGACTGTTCCACTGATATCTAAACAACCACTCATTGGATTTTGATGAAACTTGGTACATAGATGCTCTGAACTAATGCTAGGTTTTGATTAGTTTTTGGTAATAATCCGTGGATACTAATTACCTAATTTGCATAATGATTAGTCAATTTTCGGTTTTTCCACTGATATCTCAAGTACTAATCATCACATTTCAAATGAAACTTGGTACATAGATGTCATACGACACTGCACAGACCTGATAGTTTTTATGGTAATATCAGTACATATTAATTACCTAATTTGCATAATTAATTAATTTTCAGCATTT